AGGGCCCCCCCCGCTCTGCAGCTCTGCCCACAGGCCTGTCTTTGGGGCGGCCAAGGGTCGTGTCCAGGTGCCATTTCCTGCATTCGTGAGGACGATCAAGCCACCAGGAGCTCTCCACTGGGGAGAGGAGACCCTGCCCTGCCCAGAGGCCCCCCTCCACCACGGCCAGGTGCCAGCTCAGGCGGATGCTCCCAGTCACCGTGAGGAGACTTTGCTCCATGTTGAAACTTGCCTGAGGCAAGCGGCTTCCTCGGTCTGCCAGCTCCGAGAGTGGCCCGCACACACACAGCCCTGACCGCCAATCCTGTCCTGCTCTGCTCACTTCTTCCACCCACAACCCCACAGCAGCACCAGCCCGAGCTGTGGCCTTCATGCTTTAATAGGCAGCAGGTTTAAAACAAACCAAAGGAAGTTTTTCTTCACACAACACAGCCAACCTGTGGAACTCCTTGCCAGAGGATGTGGTGAAGGCTAGAACTTTAACAGGATTCAAAAAAGAGCTAGATAGCTTCATGGAGGTTCAGTCCATCAATGGCCAGGATGGGTAGGAATGGTGTCCCTGGCCTTTGTTTGTCAGGGGCTGGGAATGGATGAGAGGAGGGATCACGTTACCTGTTCTGTTCACTCCCTCTGAGGCATCTGGTATTGGCCACTGTGGGCAGACTGGACATGAGGGCAGGATGGATCTTTGGACTGACCCAGCCTGGCTGTTCAAATGTTCGCTCCCCACCCTCCCCCCATTCTGCTTGGGGCTCCCTGTGGGTGGTATCCAGGCACGTTGCGGCCCTGCTGGCTGGGGGCAGATGCCGAGAGCAGCTAGCTATGGGGCGAAAGTGCCAAAGCAGGGCCAGGATCTCCCCTGCCCACACAGCTTTGTGATTTACAATCTGTGTTTTGCAAAACCCCACGTTTCTGCTTTGAGCTTCTGAGCATGAAGAGAGCCGGGTCATGGCTAAAACGAGACCCTCTCCACATTCCCCCGTTGGTCCCTCTGCCCACCGGGTCTGAGTGCTGCCCCCCTTGCCTGGTCCTCCTCCTGGCACCTCAGCAGGCAGACGTGGCATCTGGACCGGGGCTGCCCCCGATGATGGGACGGTTCCTCTGGCTGTGCACCACAAATCTACCCCGCAAGGCCTCCCGCCCTCCTAGTGACCTGGCAGCCCAGCCCCCTGCCTGGGGACAAAACCCTGCAGAAGAGGAGGGTGCTGGGGGGGAAGGGGTGTTTCATAGATGAAGTGTGACCCGGATTCAAACCCTCCCTGTTATTGGTTCTGGGGAACCCCCCCCGGGTGATGTTGGGGTAGGTTCACTGGCTTTAGGGCAGTCCCATGAGCCTCTGCATGCGGGGATGGCTGGCCCCTAGGCTGTGGCGGCTGTGAGGTGAGCGCTGGCCCAGGACCGTGCCAGAATTCCCCGTCCCACAGAACCCAGAGCTCGTATGAAAATATTTATTTGAGAAAAGCAGCATCGTGTTTTCTGTCCCCGCCGCCCCGGCCACGGCTCAGCCGGGCGAAAGCGCAAATACATTAACCGGTCTGCCCGCCCGCGCTGTGCAGGGCGTCGGCCCCGCGGCACCCCGCTCGCTCCAGGCACTAGATAAATAGCCGGCCTTACATGGCAGTTACACGGGTCCAGGCTTGGGGGAGGGCATGGTGCCCGTGCAGGGTTTACACGCCCGCAGGAGGCAGCTTGGTGCCCGGCCCGGCTCAGTTCAGCTCCAAGTCGCTGACATACTCTTGAACCCAGGACTCGCTGGGGTTGGCGCAGATTTCCCGGCCCTTCTTCGTGATGAGTCTGGGAACGGGACAGGAAGGGTGGAGTCAGAGGAAAGGTGGGGGCATTTCCCCCCAGTGCCCCCCCCCCCCTAAATGCTCATTGGCAAATTCCCACAGACCCCCACTTCCTCCTCCAAACGGGCTATAAAAACTCCAGGGCCCAGAGTGTGTGTGGGGGGGCCAAGGCTGGTGGTGGGGGAGGGGGACTGGTGGCAGCTGTCCAGAGGCAGCTTGGGTGTCGGCTGCTAGGAGGGGGCCTAGGGACGTCAGCCCTGTGGTGGGGCGCCGTGGGCTCAGGGCTTCTCGCTCTCAAAGGGGCGCCCGGGAGCTCCTTGCCGGTGTGACGCTGTTTCCTGAACTTGAGCCCTGTGGGGGTGGGCAGGTCCTATTCCACCTTCTGTGGGCTTGGGACCCATGGCCAGCCCCTCCCCCCAGGACGGCCCGGCCCGGCTTGGCGCTCTGGCTGTGCGGGTGCAGCTGGCGCCTGGCTAGTCTCTGAATGCCCTTCCTCCCGCTGGGAAACGGAAGCAGCAGCCCCAGACTGTCGCCTCCACCCGGCCAGGGCCCTACACCGGGAGGGTGCCTGGACCCCAGGGTGCTGCCCTGGGCACTTACACCACGCCCGGCTGGGAGCACAAGCTGCTCGTGCTGTAATAGTCCCTCAGGAAGCTGCGGGGCATCTGCCGGGCCGTGTAGGAGAAGCAGCAAGCCGTCGGCAGGTCGGAGCCAACTGCAAGAGACGAAAGGAGCTGGGGGAGGCTGGGTCCAGGCGG